GGGTGGCTTAGCTGGTGAAGCATCTTGACTTCGGCTCAGGTCATGATCTCACGGTTCATTGAGTCAAGTCCCATGTCAGGCTCTGTACTGACAGCTCAGAGCCTGGAGTCTGCTTTGGATTCTGTGTCTCCCGCTCTCTTTCTCTGCCCCTCCCCTTTTTGCGCTCTGTCTCCCTCACTCAAAAATAAACAAACATTAAAAAAGAAAAAAAGATTACACAGAATTCGGCAATACATGGCTTTGCAAAGTATATAAGGGTAATTTATTTTCTAATGTTTATTTTTTTTGAGAGAGAGATAGCATGAGCAGGAGAGGGCAGAGAGAGAGAGGGAGACACAGAACCCAGAGCAGGCTCTAGATTCTGAGTTGTCTGCATAGAGCCTGACATGGGGCTCAAACTCACACACCATGAGATCATGACCTGAGCCAAAGTCAGACGATTAACCGAATGAGCCACCCAGGTGCCCCAGAAGGTAATTTATTTTCTTATATTCATTGGCAGTGTCTACCAAAATTACAAATGCATGACCCCTGTAGTCTATTAATTCCACTTTTAAGAATTTATTCTATGTGACCAAAATTCACATATAGACCGATATACAAAATGTGGGAATGAAAATTGATGGGCAGAGATTGGAAGAAGACTTTTCATTGACTGACTATCCTTTTTGGCCTCTAAATTTTCAACCAAATTAATATATTAAATGTTAAAAACTGTAGATATTTTAAAACTTCCAAGTATGACAATAATGGGATACTGCCAAAAACACTAACAAAAAACCCTACTACTTGCCTTACCACTTACACAAAATCTATTTCAAAGTATCTTTAACAAACATTTAAGTATCCTTAAGGTAAAAATGAAACACTACCTAAAGCAAAGCCACAATGCAAGTTAAAAATCATAATGGGATGAAAACGAATAACAAAGAATAACACTTTAAACTTGTGGGCCATTTCTGGATAGTTTTTTAGATTATGTGATTTGCTTATCACTATGTAAAAGAATTTCCTAAACCTACTCACTGACCTTTTTGGAGGGTGGGGTAGGGTACAGTGTGATGTTTTTTTTTTTTTTTAACGTTTATTTTTGAGATAGAGAGAGACAGACAGAGCATGAACGGGGGAGGGTCAGAGAGAGAGAGAGAGAGAGAGGGAGACACAGAATCTGAAACAGGCTCCAGGCTCTGAGCTGTCAGCACAGAGCCCGACGTGGGGCTTGAACTCACGAACGAACCGCGAGATCATGACCCAAGCAGAAGTCGGACGCTTAACCCACTGAGCCACCCAGGTGCCCCACAGTGTAATCTTATTAATTAGGTACTGATTCTACTAGTATGATAAAGTAAAACAAACTCCAGAACATTTTACTTGTAAAGATTTCAGGTTAAAAAAAAAAAAATGCTGCCTTATTCATTTTTATTTGAGATCTACAGATTTTATATCAATGAATTTCACATGAAACCTTTATATTGAAGGCAATTTCTAGGGCATCATCAAATAGGATAGAATAAAGAATAGAACTATTCCTAAAATAGGTCTCCTTTAGGTATTTTCATTTCACATTACTGGTCTCATCTCCTAGATAGTTTCTAAGTTTAACATCCCACTATCTTCCAGCACAAGTTCCATCACCACTGCTCCTAATTCCAGGTTAAGAACAATGAATGGGATCCTCTTACTATATAAATGAATCCCTGGTGTTCTTTACCGTCTCCTGAGTACAAGATTCACTGACTGTTTCCCCTATTGTTTTTTTTTGTGCATTGCCAGGCAATGTTTCCTACCACTTACAGGCAAAACTTCTACTCATACAACTATCTATTGTATATCCATCTGTAACTCAGCACTTGTGTTTCTGTAATATAAAACTCTATGTAATATAGCAATGGCCCCATCTCTTATTGCATGGTCAAGGTGTGTACAGACCTCTCTTTTAACCTGAGGTCATGCCAACTCCTGAAAAATCAGTAAGCAGCTTGACTTAGGTAGTGGTTTCATTCTTTGGTGGTCTATGTTCCATCCTCCATTCTGTCCCTTGACAGCCTCTACAGAAATGCAGTTTTTATTAGCCTCCAGTGTTCCATTCCTACATGTGTTGGAAGGTTCTTCTTCTTAACTCTGAACCTTCTCAGGTATATTCAAATAGCTACAAAAAACGGAATTTCCAATTCTGCAACAGCAAAAGGGATAAAGGCCCAAGAAGATTGCCCAGACTCACCAAGACCATATACAGGTGGGCCCAGACAGTCAGAATTCTTCAGAAGTCTTTTTGTTTTCTTTCAGGAAGTTAGAAAAAGAAAAAAAAAGATTCTGTATTTATTTCTTTTTAAACTGGGGTGTAAATCTCTCAAACAAGATTTTAAATATAATGATGAACACCACAGTGTTGCATAAAGCTTTCTGACTGTTTCCAATTTAAAGCTGTAAGGAGGCCATCAAACTTACAAATTGGATGTGAGACACAGCTCTGCCTAAAAAAAGATTATACAGATGCATGACAAAATCCATTCTGACCAATGTTCTGAATAGTAATTAAAGGACTGCAGGGTAATAGGTTCCAAACTTTGTGACCTCAAATATAAAGATCTTTTCATATTTCCACAGTATAGACCAGAACAGGGTAGGCATGGGAGTATGGCTTACAACACACTTGACCTTTACATGAACTCCTGGGCAGACACTAATAAAGGGCGAAATGTTCCCTCCCCCCCTGCTAAAACCGATAAGGGCAAAGTATGCTTCCTTAGCAAGAGTTTGAGGGACACACAGTAGGACACTACATCAACTTTCAGCACAACTGTCTGGTCACAATGGCATCAGCAAAATTAGCATTTATTTCTACATGTGAAAATACATTATGAAGACAAATAATAACATACAAAAAGTGCACTCATTCACTTTCTCATTCTTTCAGCAATAATTCAAACACTGACCTTTTATTACTAAAAGAATGTTTACACCAAATTTATTAGAAAATCTATGCTTATGGTTTAAAATGTGCATTTTTATTACCCCAATTTCTTTCTAAATATATATACCACAGTATCCTTAACTTTTATAAGCAGAGAATATATCCTAACACAAGAGAACTTAAAGAGACACAAGAGACATAAAGTACAAGAAAAAACCCAAGTTTTTAGTAGAAAATAAAAGATAAAAATTTCCTAGATGATTTGAGAAGAAATAATGCCTTAAACGAAAATATTCCAATGATACTAACAGTCTTAAGGATTAAGTATCAGTATCAGGGTGTAAAATTTGCAAACATTAATTAGTTTTTGTTTTTTTTAATGTAAGATACTCAGTAACATCTCATTCTTCACTGGATCTTCACAAACACAAAACATATATTATACATGTTGTTTGTACATAAAGATAGACAGCCAGGCTTATGAATACCAGCAAGTTATATAAACAGTCCCATTATGAACTGCGGCATATTCCTGCAATGGTTTACAAAGTTTATATATATTTAATATGATAGAGAAGAAAATTATCAGAATCGAAGTGGAATACAGAAAACAGAAAATTAAAAATAAGCTTCTATGACTAGTTTGGGTGTTTTTAAATTAAAAGAAAACAAATGTGCCTATTTCTAAATGATACAAAGGAAATCAGTATACCTAAAACTTGAGAACAGAATGTTCTACTTAGGGCAATTCTGAAAAGAATGTTAAAGACTTTAATGAGTTAGCAATACATAACAGAAAAGGCTCTAAATCTGGAGCCAGCAAGCTTGGGTTTGAAGCTTAGTTCCCTGCTGTGGTAAAAACCTTAATCTTCTTGACTATCCTCATCTGTAAAATGGGAGAAATTAGTACAGAGTTATTGTAAGGATCAGAATGGATTATAGGGGCACCTAGGTGGCTAAGCTGCTTAAGGGTCTGACTTGTGACTTTGGATCAGGTCATGATCTCACAGTTTGGTTGTGCGATGGAGCTCCGCGTGCATCTGTGCTTGACAGTATGGAGCCTGCTTGGGATTGTCTGTCTCTCTCTCTCTCAAAAATAAATAAATTAAAAAAAAAAAAAAAAGAAAAGATTATAGATGACTCTCACATTCGTTAAACATGAAAAACTAAGTATGGATACTATTCCCTAGACTAGTAAGAATAGGAAGAATATAGTCCATTTATTATTTTATTGTTTTCTACACAAGTAATCTCACCCCATTAATTTTAGGGTAACGAAGGACCCAATATTTGTCAAAAATAATGGCAGTTACGTATTTCACATATATAATATAACACTTAAAACATTAAGTAAACAAAAAAATATTAAGTAAACAAAGTTCCATAATATCATACCAAACTATTGGTCATGTTAATTTCAAATGTTCTGGTCTAAGTAAAGAAGTTTCTCAAATATTCCAAATACTTCTGAATCTCAGTAGTGCATAAAGGGAAATAATTATTCCCTGAAGTTTCTTTATGTTATTCTCTTCAATTGTCATCGTCCCCCTCACTGTGTCTTTCTCTAGAAGAGTATTTATTTACCATGCTGTTTATACAACTACAGTTAAAAAATAAAACAAAACAAAACCCCAAAACAAAGTGGAAGGAGAAGGATAAATTATAGCAAATTAACAAGAAGGGAAAATTAGAGGGGCACCTGGGTAGTTCAGTCGGTTAAGCGTCTGACTTTGGCTCAGGTCATGATCTTATGGTTTGTAAGTTCAAGCCCTGTGTTGGGCTCTGTACTGACAGCTCAGAGCCTGGAGCCTGCTTCGGATTCTGTGTCTCCCTCTCTCTCCGCCCCTCCCCCGCTCACACCGTGACTCCCCCCCCCAAAGGTAAATAAACATTAATTTTTTTTTCTTAATGGGAAAACTAGATGACTCCATGGTAAATGAACAAAGTGTGAAGATAAAAGACATTCAGAAAACACAAATGCCTCATATATATGTTCACATTAGTATGAATTTCACACCAACAATTTAGAATGTCTCTGATCGTTTAGCATGCATAAGAATTATCAGAAATATGTGCTTGTTTTTACCTTTAGATTTGGGAATTAGCTCTCCACAACTGAGTATCCGCACCTCAGCAAATGGTTTGCTAGCTGCATCTGTTTTCTGATTTTCTATCTCTCTTACAACTTCTTGGCCAGATATCACTTGCCCAAAAACAACATGATGCCTAAAGAGTCAAGTAAAGATGACTAAATAAAAGCTTTTAATTTTAACATTAAAGTGGTCAAAAGATAAATTAAAATAATCTTTACCCATCTAAATGAGGAGTTGGCTTCGTTGTTCTTTGGAAGTCATCAGATAGAAGAATAAAAACAAAGTCAGAGAAAAACAAAGTTAGCATCTCTAAAAAGGAAAAGAAAATAACTGCATTGGAAACAAAGTTGCATACAAAGAAATCACATGCTATTTTAACATAATAGAATTTTATTACATTAACCTTAAGTCGAACAGAAAAAATTCAAGATGCTTTCTACATAATGCATTTTCAAAAACTCATTCTGATCATGAAAGTAATACCACTCATTGTTGAGAACTTACATGTTAACTAAAGTTGACATTTTGGTGTTATTTCCATTCATCCATGTTTCTTGCATGTGCCTGGGTTCTTACTGAACATGTAGAATGTTCTATGGTTTTTATAAATTCTATTGTATGAACAGACCACAATTTAACAAAAGATTCCACTAGTTTATGGGTTTAACAATAGTGCTTTTCAACCTTAACATTTTAAACAGTTAAAGCATAGATCAACTGCATAACTGGTTTTGTTTTCCAGTTTCAGTCACCTATGGTAACCTGTGGTCAGTCCACAGTCTAGAAGCAGATGATCCTCCATCTGACATACTATCAGTTCAAAAGTAACCTAACACTACATCACAATGCCTGTTATTCACCTCACTTCATCTCATCAGGTAGGCATTTTATCATCTCACATCATCACAAAAAGGGTAAGTATAATACAGTAAGAGATTCCGATAGAGACCACATTCATATAACTTTTGTTACAGTGTATTGTTCTTTTTGCTATTGTTGTTAATCTCTTATTATCCCTAAATTGTAAATTAAACTTTATCACAGGTATGTCTATATAGGACAACATGTAATATAGAGAGTTCAGTACTATATGAAGTTTCAGGCATCCACTGGGGGGAATCTTTGAAATGTACTTCCCGTGAATAAAAGGGGACTTACTGTATATATTCAGATGGGCCTCACATGTGTTCTGTTGACTAGAACAGAAATGGTCCATATAGTGTTTGTAAAAATTTTAATTAGTTGCCAACATTAAAAGTTTTGGATACTTTCACTCAAAAATCCAGAATTCAGACCTTCTGGAACGCTGGAAGGTGTGGCGCCTGCATGAGGCAGTAACTGGTCAGGCTGACTATCCCTATCTTTTTAATACATGGATTATCAGTTTAGATTCTTGTCCCAGCAGGCTTTACTGGCTTATGTTACCGAAGATCCAAAGACCTTCGAGTTTATTTTCCGTGATATACAAACAAACTTCACAATGAAGAAATCTGGATTAAAACTTTTGACAAAATTCAAAGTAAGCAAAACGTCCTGCAAATGAAGTAATTTTGTAAAATCTTTTTTTCTACTCCACACCAAACTTAAAATCTTTGTAGTTGAGAAGATTGGTATTGGTGTAGAATGAAGATGGACACTGTATATCATTTATTATGTTAAACAAGGCATTAGATGGGGTGCCTGGGTGGCTCAGTCAGTTAAGCATCCGACTTGAGCTCAGGTCATGATCTCCTGAGTCATCAGTTGGGAGCCCCACACTGGGCTCTGTGCTGACAGTTCAGAGCCTGGAGCCTGCTTCAGATTCCGTGTCTCCTTCCCTCTCTGCCCCTCCCCCACCTGCACTCTGTCTCTCTCAAAAATAAACATTAAAAAAAGTTTTTAAAAAGGCACTAGAAATTTGGAAGAAGGAACACAATCTAAGCTAACCTCTGGTTAAAGCCCACATGATACTAATTAACAAAAATTCAAACATGTTCATGTATTTTCATAAGTTCACCTTACATGTAAAACTAACCCCTTACTGTTTTCTTCCTACAACAGCTATGTTCACCTGAAGTTGCTTAAACCATTTAGAGATGTAAAAACCATTGTGTATACCCTATGTGTACTTGTATTACATGTTACATTCAACGTATACATATATTTTGTATCTAGATTTAGTCAAACCTCACTTCACAGATTCCATAACTTGCAAGTTCACTTCCTCACTAGAATTCATTTATAACCCCTAAACCAATACTCTGCGTTTTCATGGTCATTCTCGAATTGGTGAAAACGTGTACTGAAGAGGAGCAGAAAAACGAGAACTCTTATACAGTGCTGACAGGAATATAAAATGATGCAACCACTGTGGAAAACAGTTTAGTGGCTCCTCACAGAGCTAACCATAGACAAATATTGCATGATTCTGCTTGTGGATCTAAAAAAATTTTTTTAATGTTTTATTTATTTTTAAGACAGAGAGAGACTGAGCATGAGTGGGGATGGGGCAGAGAGGGAGACACAGAATGTGAAGCAGGCTGCAGGCTCTGAGCTGTCAGCACAGAGCCCAACGTGGGGCTCAAACTCACGAACTGTGAGATCATGACCTGAGCCGAAGTTAGACGCTGAACCGACTGAGCCACCTGGGCGCCCCTGCTTGTGTATCTAGAATAGGAAATTCATGGAGACAGAAAACAGAATAGAGGTTACCAGGGGCTGAGGGTAAAAAGAAATGGGTTAGTTTCTGGGACAATGAAACCATTTTGGAAACAGTGGTGACAGTGGCACAATATTGTGAATATAATACCATTAAATTATACATTTAAAAATGATTAAAATGGCAAATTTCATATCACATATGTTGCCACAATAAAAAAGTTTTTTAAGATTAAAAAACTGAAGTTGTCTCCTTTAAAAACAATAAAAACAAAACACAAGTTAAAGAAGGGTTACCTAGAAATTAAGAGAGATAAGGAAAAATCAACACATAGAGTGAAGATTCTGAGAATATACGTGAAGGATTACATAAACTTAACAGAAGTTTTGGATAGCACAGGAAGGGTTTTAATTTAAAGACAAATGAAAACAGTGTTGTTGAAGATCTGGTGACACTGGAACTTGCATACTATACTGTTGATACTAGAGTACATTATATAGCAATATATATATATATATATATATATATAGAAAGACTTAAAAATATGTAAACATTTCACTAGTAAACTTCTAGCAACTTATGTAAAATAGTTAAAAATGCTTCAAACAATAGGTACAACAATGCTCACTGCAGCAGTTTGAAAACCAGGAAGCAAGCCAAATGTTCAAAATTTAGATAAATAAAGACGGTCCTCAGTGGCTCAGTCAGTTAAGCATCCAACTCTTGATTTCAGCTTAGGTCATGATCTCACGGTTTTGTAGGTTCAAGTCCTGCCTCAGGCTCTGCACTGATCCTGCAGAGCCTGCTCGGGATTCTCTCTCCCTCTCTCTGTCCCTCCCCTGCATGCTCACTCTCTTGGTCTCTCCCATAATAAATAAATAAACTTAAAAAAAATTAGACAAATAAAGCATAGTACATTCAACCAATGGGATTCACGTATAGCTATCAAAATATTAATACTTAGCTATGTGCAGAGATTTATATTGTATCCAAAGTTGATTATAGAGTATATGCAACATTTAGGTTACATTTTTATTGCAGAGAAAGACATTCTGGGGACAGGAATTTTTTCTTCTATTTATCTGTGTTCTTATTTTTCTACGACCAACATGATATAAATTGTTTTCATTTAAAAAATCAGAAAGACAATTAATTGCCTTAAAAAGGCAATTAGTTGAATAAACTAGAGTCTATTCACACACCAGAGTAATATGCAGCTGCAAGATAAATGAAAAGGATCTCTATGAACTGATATGGAGTGATTTCCAGGACATATTGCTAAGTGAAAAGAACAAAAAACACTGTATGTAGTATGCTATCTGTTGTGTAAGAAAAAAAGGAAAATAAAAAAATATATATATGTATCTGTGCTTATTTTTGTAAAAAGAAATAGAGGAAGATAAGCCAGAAACTAATAAGGTTTGGTTACTAATATGGATGGATGGGAATGGGATGAAAAAATGGGGAATGGCAATGGAGGGAAAAGTTAGGTGGATACGATACTTAAGAGGTATTCTTTTTGAATCACGTTTTATAAACTTAAAAAAAAAAAAACTAAAAACTAATCATGGTGAGAGAACAAAATATAATCATACACCAATCAACCTAACATATTTTGAGCCACAAAACCACACAAAATTCACACCAAAACCACACAAAATTCACACCAAAAGGCACTAATCTGAGCCACTTTTAAACACAGTATTTTAACTACATACCCTCGGTCTAAAAACAAAAATAACTATAAGTAAATAGCAACTCTAGTTAGGTTACTTTTCATAGAATAGAATAGCAAGTTTTTAAATAGAATTCAGCAAATGGGTAGAAATTCTGAAGATAATGGGAGCCAGGTTTTTCACTATTGAAGACGGGAATTACAAATATGGAATAGTAAATCACTGGAATAAGCCATATGGTGCTTACAGATTAAGTTCTTCTGAGACAAGGAGAGTCTAAGGCTATTGAGGAGGAGAGCAAATCTGTACCGATAGGACATGATAAAAAATATGCACTGTTGAAGAGTCCTGGCCAAAAGTTTTTGGGGTTCAGAATTGGAAGCATTAGCAGTACCCACTTTGGAGCTATAAATAATTTTTAGTAAGTACGCAAATTCACAAATATAGAATCTTTGAATAATGAGGATCAACTGCATTTCATTCTTTGTAAACAAGTAATTTATAAAGAGATACTCTGCAAATATTCTTATTATTAAACTTGTGCTCTAAATAGATAATTCTTTCCTCAATCAGTCATTATGGAGATGACTGCAAAATGGTGACTTTTCTATCATTCCTTTTAAATTTATTAGCTGACATTCTACTAAGAAACAGCTTTGTCTTCTCCCTTGTTATTTATTCGTTTATTATTTATGCCTGTACGGGCTGCTGGATTTCTATTTTATTTAATAATCCGATACTATCATTATTTATTTTGATGCTCAAATTTTCCTAATCTGGCCAGGGGGAACCTTACCCCTTCATTCTGGCTCCTGTGTTCTTTTGACAAGTCTTCATCATTTGGAAACTTAAGCAGTACAGTTCAATTTCACTTTTAACAATTTTACTCTCTTCAACAATTCACTGTTCCCCTTCCTTCAAAAATTTTCCCCATTATGGATCCCTCTCCTATTTATTAGCAATCAATGAGAAATGACACACCAAAAAAGGGATATTTTAAATGATCACAGCATAAATACTTACATGAAGAACTGTGAACCGTTTGTGTCCTTCCCTCTGTTGGCCATAGACAAGAGAAATTCTTTGTTGTGTTTAACAGCAAAACTCTCATCTATAGAGAAGTGAAGTTTTCAGTTATATTATAGGCATAAACTCCAAAAAATTTCATTTTCACTCTTCATATCTTATTTTCATATGTGCTCTGTAGCACCAGACAAAATTTAGATAAAAGGTTAAAAGAAGAAAGAATCAAATATTAACCAATTCCTTCCTCCACCTTTTTAGATTAAAACATTCCTAATTTTCAATCCCTTGCTATAAATTCAAATACTATAATCACCCCCCTTTCTTTCCATTTGCATTTACTTGTCTTTTATATCATTTTGGAAAAGACAACACAATTTTCTTTGCTTATTCAAACAAAAAAATAAAACATTCCTAAAAAAGGAAGAGAAACAAACCAGATAGGATTCTTTTACACTTCCTCTGTTTCTTTTCTGAGCACAAAAAAGCACATATGGTTATTTTAAGCACAGAGAGGCACTCATTAACTTAATCTCTGCCACAGCATAATTTATTGCAAAGAGTAGCTTGCTTTGCAATCTTGGATTCGAATATGAGAACCACCCAAGTAGAACGTGAAATAAAATTTTACTGAATTCCTGAAGTGAAAAATATGAAATACGAAATTATTTCCACATTCATGTTTATAGTCTTTCAAATCATCTTCACATTAATAAAAAATTCCAGAGAGAAAATTTTAATTGGAGAAAAACATTATCCAAAGTTTAAAATATCAAAGGGATTTTTTTTTTAAAGTGCACAGAAGGGGAGCCTGGGTGGCTCAGTTGGTTAAGCATCTGACTTATGGTTTCGGCTCAGGTCATGATCTCACGGTTTCTGGGTTCAAGCCCTGCATCAGGCTCCACGCTGGCTTGGGATTCTCTTTCTCTTACTCTCTCCCTGTCCTTCCCCTGCTCATGCTCGCTCTCTTTCTCTCTCAAAATAAATAAACTTAAAAAATAAAAAAATAAAAAAAATGCACAGAAAAATGGACCCACTAAACATGTGAGTACTGTTAGTATGAAATATTGCTAAATCTGTTTTAATAAAGATTAAGGTTAAGCTGTGGAAGTGCCCAATCTAGCACTATAATTCTAAGACTTTATTATAGATCATTGAAACCCTTCAAATAATATGATGTATTAATGTTCTAAACACACAAAAAATCCTACCTCTATAAAAAGTCTATCATATAAATTTTTTCACAAAAAGATTAACTTTTGGATTCACTGACTGCAGTTGGATATTAGTATACTGTCTAATAATCTTATTGATTCAATAGAGAAAAACGAAATACAGAAAACATTAAAAATACAATTTAAATGTAAACATCTTTACCTTCAAAAAATCCTCCATAAATAGATTCCCCTCCTCGTCCATTCCCTAAGAATGAGAAACATGGACTCTTGAACTCCCAAGACAGTAATCTCTTTGAAGGCGCCACCTAAACAAAATGCTTCTTACAAAGTAGGTGCTTAAATGACTTTGAATCAAAAATACTCAAAGGTTCACAGCAAATCATAAAAGATATTAATTTAAAGTCAATACTGACAAGATCCCAAATTACTTTTTTTTCCTCTATGATACAAGAGTTAAGAATGTGACAAAGTCTCTATTAAGATTTGTGGAAAAAAGAACACTCAGATTCTAGTGATTATGTAGACCTTCGAACAAAAATTAGATTTTTTTTCCCAAAATGTCTTTAAAAATACAATTTCAGTGTTTTTACAATTTAAAAGTATAGGTAAAAACTATATTATAGTTAAGGATTACTAGTTTTGACAAAACCAAACACACACACTGACAAATTACTACGAGATGAATAGTGTTTTTTAATTCAGAAGCACATTTGTGAAATTAATTCATGCATCAAAAGTAAAATTATCTCCTATGTGCCTCCTTTTTGTCTGTGAGTACTTCTAGAGACTTGTCTAACTTTAAGGTCTATGATACCTAACAAAGTATTATGATTTTCTTTTGTGGGATTCAAAGTCTTACCTTCACTGAAGTCACCACCTTGAACCATAAAATCCTTGACAACTCTGTGAAAGAGACAACTCTTATAATGTAATGGTTTCTGAGTTGATTTCCCTGTCCCCTTTTCACCTACAGAGAAGAAAAATTAGTAAGCCATTTAGTAGGAAAAAAATCAAGCAGGCAGTATTAAGGAAAAATTAATGAGGAAAGCTTTTCACTGTAAAATACACCTCTCTTGAACTATGTAGATGTCTTTAAACTACAGAATTTTTACTCCCCTTGGGAATTTTTTTTTAAGTTCATTCAAAAATCACCAGTGTTTTTCTGGAGAGTGTAGAAATGTAGAAATCAATCTCAGATAAAAGCCCACTGCAAGCAGTATTTCTAGGGGCACCTAGGTGACTCAGTCAGTTGAGAATTCGACACTTGATTTCAGCTCAGGTCATGACCCCAGGGGGTCATGGGATTGAGCCTTGCATCAAGCTCTGTGCTGAGCACGGAGCCTGCTTAAGATTCTCTCTCTCTTCCTCTCCCTCTCCTTCTGCTCCTCTCCCCCAATTATGTGCTCTCTCACTCACTCTCAACTAAGTAGTATTTCTAAGAATTACTTTCACATCCTGGGCAATGGTACATAATCTGCATGGGGAAATCTAAAATCTGTTAAATAAGAAAATTAAAACCATAGTTAAATGGGACTAGCATCAGGGCAACTGAAAATGTCAACAAACCTGTACAAAGACAACGAAAGTTCTCGCATGTTTTGGGGCACACATCAGAAAATAATTCAAAGACAACTCTTCCAGCTGAAAAAGAAAGAAGCTGGTTTATACTTTACCAATTTAAAATATTAAATATTCATTTATAAATGTTATATAGGAATACTAATTTTCTTACCAGGTTGATTATTAATGGCAATGTCAAAAAAACATCGAGGACGCTGAACCTTTATTCCCATGGCTCCAATATTTCAATCTATGAATAAAATGCAGTTTCAGGCAAACAGACCAAAACAGCAAAAAAAATTTTTTATGAATTTCTGGGGGAAAAAATTCTGGAGCATAAACTAGAAATTTAGTTGAACTTATTTTGATATTTACTTCCATGAAAATATAGATTCTTTCTTGGTGGGCGGGGGGGGGGGGAGTAGATTGCATTTTGTGAAGCAAATAGAAAAGACATAAAAGAAAGGCCTTAGCCATAATATAATAAAACTTTTATTTTAACAACTGAACATACATTGCCACTCAAACAGAAAATTGTATTGTCTGTATGATGAGTGAACGCCACAAGATTAAATAGAGAAAAATCAAGGACAGACTGATCCAACCCTTTTGCTCCTTGGAAACAAAAACAAAAGTTTTGATTAAAATAGTGTTTTAAAAAGAAAAACATTCAAATTCCTAAGAAATACCAAAAATAAGTTATCAAGGAAGAAAGTGGGATATTTTAATGATAGAAATATATAGTAGGTTTCCTTCCTGAGTAAAAGCACATTACATATGAGGCTATTTTCTGATCATGAGCAAGAGCCTGTAGTGATATACTAGTGTAGACAAAAAATACCAATAGGTGACATACTACTCTGTGTGAATACTTTTATCTATATAGCAGATAGCTATTATTTGACATTCTTTTGCTAAGGCATTTATCTGAAAGACTTAGATGTTTCAATCATGATTCCTGATGGGAAATGACAGGGTAAGGTGAAGAGCAGAAGAAACAAAGGTACTTAGTTTAAACAGCATCCAAAATTATGGACTATAAAAATGACAGTTTCATCAGCTCAGAATAGAGATTTAAATGTATACGCTTTTCTGAAAATTATCCTAAGCTGGTAGCTCTGCGAAAGGTCCAGTGAAGCTGTGAAAAATCTATATTCTCCATCCTAAATAGATTCCTCCTTTCATCCATTTTTAGGTAGCTTCAATGTAGATTGTAAGAAATTATATACAGTGTGTACTTTACCCATTTTCCTCCAATGATAACATTTTAGAAAACTGTTGTATAATAGCACAACTGTAGCGTAAAAGCAGAACAACGTTGATATAATCCTTTATTCCATTCACATTTCCATTTTACTGGCACTCATCTTTGTGCCTGTTATTTAGCTCTACAAAATTTCATCACATATGTAGGTTTATATATCTACCAACATCCCTTATCAATTTTACAGACCCCAAACACATAAATTGGGGATTAAATTACACAAAAGATAGATTATATTGCATTAAAATTCAACCCAAGTGTTGGCATATTCACTTTTGGCATTACTATATGGGAAAGGGGGGAAAATACCATTTTCTCATGACTTCTCAATTTTATTTCTAACAGGTAAAATAGATATTAGAATTTGTTTCACATGAAACAAAGCAAAAAATCTAAACTTTCAATCCTCCAGTAGGCTACACAGACTTCCTGAAAACAATGAAACTAAAAATCTTAGTAATTTTAGGATCTTGCCAAGTTGGTTGCATTAAGTGTTTACTTGTATAGAATTTCAATTCCTGCACACTTGAAATTGAGGGTATGTTGAATCCATAAATCTGAGGAAACTATCTTATCTTAAAAACTACTTAGTACCTGATTATCCTTTATCTTCAAAATAATTTTTGTAGGCCTTCTCTACTTTTGGGGGTGGAGGAAGAGAAGAGAAATTTTAATGATTTATTTTCCTCCAAAAAAACTTCTACAGCTACTTGTTTAACCACAATATCCCAGTTGGAGATTTCTATTATTACAAAATGATTACTATGGTATAGATAATACTGCCCCAAATAGCTTATAATTACAGTTATTTTCCTACATACAGTACTGAATTCTTGAAAACAAACTCCCAGTTGGAAAACCAGGCATCATTTATGACAGGTCAGAAAAATCCCTAGTTACTCTTAGCCTTTTATTTTTTAACTTTTTTTAAATGTTTAAGAGAGAGAGAGTGTGTGTGGGTGTGTGTGAGCTGGGGTTTGGGGGCAGAGAAAGGGAGACACAGAATCAGAAGCATGTGGGACCCCAACTCACGAGCTAAGAGATCATGCATGACCTGAAGTCTGATGCTTAACCGACTGAGCCACCCAGACGCCCCACCCTTAACCTTTTAGACACACCTTTGATAATTTTCCAAGTTTCTCAATTCTAGAGCACAATGTAAAAAATCCTAGAGCTCTGGGACCTCGAAACTGCAATGAATACCACCACTAATTTATGGAGTTTTATGATCACAAGTGGGAGCTACCAGTATAGTGTTTGTTTTGTTTATTCTGAGAGCTGCTTACATAGGGGAATTCACTTTGGGAAAACATTGAGCTACACTTACATTCTATGTAGCTTTTGGTATGCTATATTTCAATAAAAAGTTTACTTTATTAAAAATAATATATCTAGAACAAAACTTTACTTCTTTATCCCCAGTTCTCTCAGAACTCAGAAAATATTATTACTGTCCATCATCTTTGGTTGCACTTTCCTTCACAGCCCATTATTCAAACTATTAGGAAGTCGGCACTGACTGAATTTTAGCTTCAAAAATTATCCTGGAGTACCTGGGAATTGAGCATCGACTCTTGATTTCAGCTCGAGTCATGATCCCAGGATTGTGGAATCGAGACCTGCGTTGGGTTCCGTGCTGAGGCCCTTAAGATTCTCTCTGCCCCTCTCCCCAACTTGCCCTCTAAAAAAAAAAAAAAAAAAAAAAAAAACCCCCAAAAAAACAAAAAAAACAAAAAAAACCCACAAAAATCCCACATGCTGCCACCATCTTTACCATTATTATTATTTCTTATCTGGAATGTTGCAATAGCCTCCTAATTGGTTTTCCTTGCTTTTACTTAGTTCTCTATTTTCTATTCTCATTAGAATAACCAAAGTGGAATGATTCTTTAAAAGTACATTTACCACTTCATTCCTCTGCCTAATATTTTCTAACATCTATCACATTTAATAAAAATGTCCTTCCAACTCCTGGTTTTGGCTCAGGTCATGATCTCACAGTTTCATGGGTTCAAGCCCTGCATAGGGCACTGCACTGACAATGCAGAGCTTGCTTGGGATTCTCTCTCTACCCCTCCTTCTCTTTGTGCCCCTTCCCCACTTGTGCTATGTCCCTCTAAAAATAAACTTAAAGGGGCGCCTGGGTGGCGCAGTCGGTTGAGCGTCCGACTTCAGCCAGGTCACGATCTCGCGGTCCGTGAGTTCGAGCCCCGCGTCGGGCTCTGGGCTGATGGCTCAGAGCCTGGAGCCTGTTTCCGATTCTGTGTCTCCCTCTCTCTCTGCCCCTCCCCTGTTCATGCTCTGTCTCTCTCTGTCCCAAAAATAAATAAATGTTGAAAAAAAAAATTAAAAAAAAATAAAAATAAAAATAAAAATAAACTTAAAAAAAAAAAATTCAAAATGTCTTTCCATGCATTTCAAGAACCTAAACTAGCACTGTCCAATAGAAACAGGAGTCACATACATAAGTTTTAAATTTGTAGTAGCCACATTAAAAAAAAAACAAAAAACAGGTCAAATAATGTATTTTATTCAACTCAGTATGTCCAAAATACTACTTCAACATATAATTGACATAAAAATGTTATTAATGAGATATTTCATTCTTTTTTGGGTAGTGAGTCTTAGAAATCCAGTGTTTATCAATTCAGAAAGTCATGTTTCAGGAACTCAATAACTGCATGTGGCTCATACCTACTGCTACACTAGACAGCACAGATCTAAATATTTTAGCTAATGACCTCCATGACTTCATCTAACATTCTTCTTCTCCTTAGACACATGTGTTCCAGCTGTTCTTCAAACATCCCAAGGCCTAGCCCTTCATCAGGTCTTTCATACTTGTTGTTTCCTCTGTGTGGGATACTCTTACCCCAGATCTTCCCCTTGTTCATTCCCTCACTTCACTTAAATCACTGCTCAAGCATCCCCTCCACATGGAAACCATCACTGACCAGTATATTCAAAGGTGCAGCCGTTGTCCTCCAACACTTTATATCCCCTTACTTGTCATATTTTTCTTCGAAGCATTTACTGCTAATTGAAATTTTATTATAAATTCAAGTTTTTATACCTATTCTTCTTACTAGAATATAAGCTCTGTGATGTGATAAACCTTTTCAATTTTGCTCTTAATTCCTACTGCCTCAAACAGTGCTTGGCCATGGCAAGAAATCAGTATTTAATAAATAAATGAATATACATGAAAGGATAGGCATGTGTGAGAATGCTGTCTTGCAACACTGTAACACCAAAAAGGAAACATCCAGAATGTCCCACAATGAGAGAACAGCTAAATAAATTTTGGTATACACATGCTATTAAATATTACGTAGCAGTTTAAAAAGTCTACATACTCTATCCAAAAATCCTGTTACTTAGCTTAAAAGACAGAGAAAGCAAGTTGCATGTAAGTATTTTGTCTACACCCTCAAATAATACTCTATTTCTACAGAAAAAGAGTTACATATCAACATTAGCAGTCCTCTATCAGAGGAGACTAACAGTAGGAATGGAAGTCAATGGTAGTCCTTAGCTTTACTACTTTTTTTAATGGTTATTTCTGAGACAGAGAGACAGAGCATGAGCGGGGGAGGTGCAGAGAAACAGGGAGACACAGAGTCCGAAGCAGGCTCCAGGCTCTGAGCTGTCAGCACAGAGCCCGATGCGGGGCTCGAACTCACAAACCCTGAGATCATGACCTGAGCTGAAGTTGGTCGCTCAACCAACTGAGCCACCCAGGCACCCCAGTAGTCTTTAGCTTTAAATGTGAGACTTGAATTTTTGCAGTGAGAATATATTCATGTAGTTTCCCAATTTAAAATAAAAAATTTTTTAAATAAAAAAATATATCTGTATAATAAAATAAAACAGTAGGAAATACATGATAATACTAACAGCCTATCCTTAAATGAAAGGGTCACATATGGTTTTCTCAGCCTCTTCATTTCCCAAGTTTTCTACAACAATAGAGACCTGTAAAAGAA